AGGAAGAGGTCCAGAATCATTTTATATGTAGATAACCAATTGTTCCAACACTATTTGGTTACCTTTCTCCATTGAATTTTCTTGATACCCTTGTAGAAAATCAATTGACCTTATACGTGAGGGTTTATTTTTGAACTCTCACTCTATTCCATTGACGTATATGTTTACCCTTATGCCAGAGCAAACTCCATTTTCTCACAGATAAAATATGGCAACTAAGGGTTTTAGTCGAGATAATCTCCATGCTTCTTTTGAATTCAAACGTCATCTAAGATAGGAGCAGAATTACTGTGCACTATAGAGACCTACTCGGCAAACACTCCCAGTGGCCCTGGTGGCATTGTTCCTTCTTCCTTTTTGACCTAAAATTTTCACCATCAGTTATAAATTTAAAAAGACGGCCTATTGTGTCCGGAAGGTAGTATCTACAGCCCAGTAGGTTAATCCTCATACAGAAATTAACAGAAAAGTAATTTCATACTGGCTAGTCATTCTTTAGAAAACACAGAAAATAGAAGGTTCTTCAAAGGATGTGAAGCAATGGTGGCAAAAAGTAAGAATACAATGAAGTTGTTTAAAGAAGAGAAAAAAATTCAAGAATTGAATAATAAAGCAATGTTGAACAGAAGGAAGAAGGAGAAAGATAGGGTAGAAAAAAATAATTTTAAAGAAAAATCAAACCCAGAGAAGCTGCTACAATTAATCAAAAACTCTAACTCTGAGTACCCTTAATTCAAGATAAGGAAGAAAAGGAAAAACTCTAATGGTGTAATTAGAAAAGGCAACTAGTTCATCAAGAGACACTTGAACAAGTTCTGAACTCTACAAGAATTTATACTATATGACTTTAGTAACATTTTGAATGAAATAAAAGACAACATCCTTGATAACTCCCTCATAAATTATACAAAATTCTTATAGTGGATCTTAATGTAATAAATTCATGATACAATTCTAAGGATGTGAGATGACCTCTGTAGGGGTGATTCTCTGTGAGACTGAATAATGATATTCAGATATGTCATTGTTACAGTATCGGACTCAGGACAGAGTTAAAACAAGAGGAGCAGATGGCAAATATATTTGTTAGTCTTTTTCTCTTAATTATTGTTATCTCAGCCAGAGATTAGGCTCCTAAAATATTTCATGTTGGTCTTTAGGATTATAATTTCCATGTACAGAAACTAAGCAGTTGTTGAGAGAGAAATAATTCGTTCCCGGAGCAGAGTAGGGAAGAGTGCCAGGTCTCAAGATGGCCCTAGAACAATGTTTCCCGAGCTGTTCTCTGATTTATTCCAAGCCATTTATAAACAAATTAGAAATCAGATGACTTGATTTGTGACAATAAAGTATCATTTCCTTATATTGTTTTTTTGGTAAATATTTCATTTTACTATTAATTAAGAATGAAATGTGGTTGTTATATGTTTGTGCAAAATGGGAAAACACTGATAAGATTTTGATGGTAAATATCTTTGGTTTGATCATAATTAGTCAAATGATTAAAAAGCAGAAATGAGAAGCAAAGATAAAAATATGCAAAACAATAGCAATAAATCATAATACAGAGCCTAACAATGACGGTTATGGGTTTTGTGACTTAGAGATAAGACTTCCTGCTATCTATTCTGCTCTATTTTTAGTCAGATAATCAATAAACAACCAATAATTTGCTAGATATATTTGACTATATGTATTTCTTATTAGTATAATCAAGCTTCTGAGAATTTTAACCCATTTATTCACTGATTGAATCTTTCCCCCCCAATTTTTGTTTGCCCCACACCAAAGTCTAGCTCAAATTAATATCTTGCACTGCAGTGTTAAATTGGAGCGAGAAGAAATCTTTGCACTAAGAGTGAAACAACACATGGTAGCAAAGTACGGTGCACAAGGGAGCAGGCTTGCAATTTTTTTAATGGAGTTTAGTTTAACTTTATTTGTGCCGCCTACAACACTGGCTAATAGGTTTGGTGTAGAGCCACTGTGGATATTAAGAACTATAACCCACAAAATTACTGGTCAAGAAAGCTTTCTTTTTCACAAGAAATAGTACAACGAACATAGGTGTCTTAAGTATGGAGAACTTGTGTCAGCACGAGCTAGGATAGTTAGGTTTGAAAGGTTTGAGAGAATAATTTTAAAGTAACAACTAAGAGTAGTGAGCACTTATTCTGTGCCCTGCACTCGTCTGCGGACTTCACACTCATGAACTTATTTAACCTTCTATCCTACAAGTCAGGTGCTAGGCCTATTCCAGCTTTAAATACAATGGAACGACGGAGTGGAAGCATAAAGGTGTTAAGTAACTTATCTAAAGTTGACCCTTGACTATTCAGAGTCAAAGTCAAGATTGAGCCCAGAGGGCATGCTTCTACTTTGTAAATATTGTGCTCCAGAAAACTTGGGGCACAGTGGAGAACTTGCAAGACTCAGAAATGTTTTCCAAGTATAGAGAAGGGAGAGAAGTTTCTTGGGGTAACAAAGAAAGGTGTTCTTAATTAACATGGAAGTCAAGTGCACCATCTATGGGAGTCAAGTGCACCATCTCACTTAATTCTTGACTAAACTATGGCGAGTTAGGTATTCTTTTCCTCCATTTATACAGAGAAGAGAACTAAGTTTTGGGATGGTAAATAATATGTCAAGTGTATGTTGCTAGGTAGAGGCAATTCTTGAATTCAACCTCAGGTTTTTCTAAGATAATTCCAAAGTCCATGTGCTTTCCAGTGCTTAATACTACAGGGTAGATGTTAAGGAGAATAAGATAGTTAAAGAAACTGTCCTTTCAGGGGAGAAATAGCTTATGACTGAGAATGTGTATAGTAACTGAAGAGCTGGAAAAGTACCTGTAACTAAATGATGGAAGACTTAGTTGTCAAATATATCAGTTAGAATAAGTAACACTAAGCACTGAAATAGATAAGGGCATCGCTTCTCGGCCTTTTGGCTAAGATCAAGTAAAATAGAATAGGGCTAAATTCTTAGAGGTATAATACACACTTGCGTACGCACACATGCGCAAACACACACACATTTCTTGCTGTCATCACAATTCAAAGCAAATGTTCCTAATCTTACACATGGTCTTTTAGAAACCACTTCTCTTTCCACATCATGGGCCTGACATGCCCTAAATCACTAAGGTCCTATTCATTTACTTAGTAGAAAACGGAAAAGAAGGAAAGATCATACATGGTAGATTTTAACCGGACAGTCTTGGAAGTGGCATTCCTCACTTCCACATACATCCCTCTGGCCAGAACATTTATTACATGATAAAAGTAGCATTAAGAAGAAAGAACCTGGCAATGAAGTTTGGCAACGGTCACTGGAAGAGAAACAGAGAGACTGGTGCCAAGGCAGCTGTACAATAGCAGTAGGTATCTATTTAGAACATATGATATGTCGTGCTTTGTCTCAGCCCTGGCAATAGAGTGCATAGCACAGACCGGGTTCACACCTGGAAAGAGCTTTTAAAATAACAACTAAGCAGTAGTGAGCACTTACTTTGTGCCCTGCACTCATCAACGGGAGGTTCTGGTCCAAGGGGGTGACACGACATCCTAAGAAGAGGAGAGAGGGGATCGGTGACAAATAAACAATTGAGCAAGCAAGATATTTTCAGATGATAAGGGTTTTTTTAAAAGAAAAAACAAGAGCTCTGAAAAACAGGGTTATGGAAGAAGGGGGTACTATTTAAGATTGAGTATTTAGGGCATGTCTCTCTCAGGATTGCCGTTTGAGTCAAACAGCAAGAAAGAGCCAGCCTTGCCAAGATCTGTAGAAACAGAAGTCTGAGCAAAGAGAACCTCGCTGGTCCAAAGGCACAATAACGCTGACAAGCTTGGTGTGCCGGAGGAACTGACAGAAGATTAGTGTGGCTAGAGCCCAGAAAGTCAGAAAGTCTTAGATGAAACTGAAAAGGGTCATGAAGATTCTAGAAGCCTTTAACAAAGAGTGCCGGTTTTATTCTAAGTATGCTGGGAAGCCTTCAGATGTTTTCATCTGCAAGTATATGAGCAGTCATCACCACTCTCACTACCACCTGGAGCCTTCCTGGACCACTCCACAGCATCGCTGTTGCCCCTTCTCCATATCCCTTGTTTCAATCGTATTAGCAACAAGTTACCAAGCTACCTGTAAGTACGGATATGTGATTTCTTCAACCAGATGTGACACCCCGAGAGCAGAGACTTATAGTTAAAATGTGGCTCCCTTGGTAACAAGCACAGTTCCAAGAAAGCACTTAGGTCCTGCATAAGTGCATGAATAAATGAATGACGAATAAATAAATGAAGTAAGTCATGAAAAACAGTTAAAGGAAGAGAGAGCAATATCCCTTTGTATGCAGAACCTGCAACATGCTTCTCACTTTCCCTATGTCATTTGATCGACCTGAGCACAGTGGGGCACGAGGAAGAGTTTAGTGACTGCACAATTATGAGAAGCAAGAGATTAGAAAAAGAGTCAAAAAGAAATGAAGATTCTGAGGCTGAGTGCTGGGAAAAATAATGGAACAACTTTGGAAACAGGGATCGGGAGGTAGAGTCAATTTGGAGGAGGGAAGGGAGGCGATGAGAGAAAGTTATGTTCTGATTCAGCTGACAAAAGGCAGAACCAAGTGGAACGCCCAGTAGGCAAATAATTAAAGGTTAAGTTGTGTGGTGCAGACAGAAAGAGCTGTGGGAGTCCAGAGAAATCTAATAAAGAAAATGGATTTGAGGCTGAGGAATGAGAATAGACACTGGGGTAGCAAAAAGTTAGACTGCTGGGCAAAGGACACACAATATTTACTGAAAATAATGTGATACTGGAAAGAAAGGACAAACTTAGTAATGGGAAATAGAAAGATATCAGGATATATTAATTAAGAGTCAATAAATTAGAACTAGACCAAAGGAAAAAAAACCTAAGGAGCTGCTATCCTCCATTTGTTTAATTAAAAGATAAAATTACTACCCTGCTGCTCACTGAATGTTTCTGACTTCCCACGTCCAGAGCATAGGAAATAAGACCGTGTTACAGATTGTACTTCCTGGATCCCTTGAGGTTGGGAAAGCTCATGTGTCTAATTCAAGACCCTGACCTGTGGCTGAATATTTGATTGTCAATGCAAGACTTTGCAGAGTTCTTTCCTCTTTCTGGCATAATAACCAGCACTGGTCAAGTAAGAGCCTACTTCATCATCCTGGGTCCTTGCATGACTTGCAACATGAACAGAAAAGAGATATGTGTTGTTTTCAGCCACTGAGATGTAGAGGTTGTTTATTGATGCAGCATGACATCGTATCCTGATTGGTGGATCCAACATTAGTAAGAAAAGACAGCTTTGGAGTGAGATTGACCCTTGACCAGAAACAGTGGAGAAACTGAGTCAGTAAAGAAGTCAGAGACACACAGTTGGCAGATAACTGACTGCTATGGTGTGAATGTTTGCATCCCCCTGCAAAATTCATATGTTGAAACCTAACCCCCAAGGTGGTGGTGTTAGAAAGTGGGGGCCACTGGAGATGATTAGATCATGCAAGTGGAGCCTTCATGAATGGGAGTAGTGTCTTAATCAGAGACTCCAGAGAGTTAGCACGTCAATTCCGCCATGTGATGTTATAGCAGAAGGACAGTTGTCTGTGAGAGTGGCTGTCACC